ATACAAGGAACGAAAAAATATGTGGGGTTTTTTGCTTGTCGAGTGGATTCCTCATACAAAAATGTCATAACACCCCTCCCGCTATCTTAATAACTCCCTGCACGTCATCAAAATGAAAAATATACCCAAACACACCTGGTTTCACGAAGGCGAGAATATGTTTTATGGACATTATAAATATTTATAAACATTTACCCTAAAGATTCTCGTGATTCATGCAAATCAAAAGAGATATTTTCATTGGTCATAGAACTATTTGAAACACCCATTACCCATGAGCCTAGTACAGATTAATACAAAATTTCCCGTTCTAAAGTCACGGAAATCAAACAGAGTATGCGTGAAAACCGTACACGTACTGAACGCATGTGAAAAGGAGATGCTAAATTGTTCGAGTTACGGGCATCAAACTTGAAGTCACGAACATCGAGTTACAAAAATGAGCACGCCCATATTTTGAAACCACGCCCATTTTTGCGTAACTATGTTCAAATTGTAACTCGATGTTCAATTAACAATTAACAGCACTTTGAGATACGGTAACATACATTTTTGTTTTCGTTGAATGTCAAGAATTAGTAACTCGAACTTTAATTAACAGTTGACTGAACTTTGAGTATATCTGTCACTTTAATGGCGGATTGATAAGTCTTCAAAATAACTTGAAGTTTTCCTCTCAATTGTTCTTGTCAATAAACTAGCGCTTTCAAATACATTGTGTATGCTGAGGCTGATAGGAATTTCAACAAACGTATTACATTGATGCTTCGGAGGTAATCTGCACACCTGTTTACTTTTTGGTTCACATCCATATTTTCTAAATACGTAATTTGCATAACTTTTTTTTTCAAAATTCGTACATAGGTTAAGTACTATACATTAACCTGGTGAATTTGGGTCGGAATTTAAAAAAAAAAACTATTTTATAATTAACAATAATAATTATGATGATATGTTTTGTTTCAGTTTTGTTTTCATGTTCTAACATGTTAAAAGTATTACACTATAAAGTACACACTGAATATCACTGTTTCCTGTTCGTTTTCATTGCATGCAAATACATAAGTGCATATTGCCGCGTAAACTATAAGGTTATTCATATTGTGCATAAATAGACCATTTTCCGTACATTGCGAGAATCACGCGTTATGCGTGAAATCGAACGTAAAAACAGGACAAACAAAGGTCATAGCGTCGTAGTGGCGTCAAACATCGCGTGGGATTCGACAAACACGAAAGTATTTCGGGGACATTTCCATGCTTAATAATGTGCTGTCCACATTTGATGATAGGCAATTTCGATTAAGTAAGGGTATTCGGAAGCAATATTCTTCTGTCGAAGATTGGCCGGTCGGTGTGAGCTACGAAATAAGGAAATTCGATTTCAAAATCAAATCGTTCGATTTTTGCGGCAGACGTTCGATGCGCGTCTTTCATGCATCTCGCGAGATCTCGCAATTGTACGGAAAATCACCTATTGTGTGTGTGCCGATTAGTATTTGCAGAGGTACATTACTTGGGGTTTGTAACTACGGTGACATGATACCAAGATCCCGTCACAATCTCGCTCTCGCATAAGCGTTCCAACTCAGAAAAAATGCGAATGCGCATGCCCGAGGTAACTAGGATACTGGGATGTCCAGGTGGATCAAAATAGCTGCCCACAATATGACGGATTACGAGAACTATATTTTCTGTACATTTTCGATGTATTACATTTTTCACTATGATAGTGACAAGAAAAGTTTATTTTTTTCATTACAAACCTTGAACATTGATATGCGTCATGTCAGAAGATCGTAGCCTCAGTCTCGCTATCTACGAGAAGAGACTTGAATGGGATCTTGACATGATGTCACCATACAGTACTATGCGAGTTGCAAACCCCAAGTAATGTACCTCTGGTATTAGTAGTAAATAACACCGAATAAACGGCAAGGTAAAGACTACGTCTAATTATAGTAAATACGTACTGCGTGCGTGACTCGAACCGGCGCTCGCGTACGGCACCTAATCGCCTAGCTTACGCTATTATCACCTATAACACTAAACTATACCCGAAGCGTTTACTACTATATCATTCATAAAAAAAAGATCTGGGTGTTATTATTGATTCTAAACTGTCATTTACCATTCACGTTGATCCTATTGTCGGTACGTAATTTTTTTTAGTTGGACTTATCAAGCACAATTTTCTAACGGTATGGTGAACGTTGCTAAGCAGGGCACAATTGATCTTTTAACCAGTATCATTTAACGAGTTGCATGTTGGTAGCGTTCATAGTTTAATTGCATCACCCGCCAATAACAATTTGCAACATAGACTTGTTAGATTTGTTGAACCCTGGGCGTATATTTTCATGACCGTTTGGTCTTATATGACTAAATTTTGTGTATGCGTCATTTAGTTAGGTGTGATATCATTTTTTTATTTATAATTTTTCTCCTGATCAATACATTATAATAGACTTAGTATTTAATTAGTTTGGGGTATATTCTTTATATATATATGTATAAGATTTCTTCAATTACGTTTGGCACGCTGATAGAGGTTCTTTTTTTCACTGGGCAAGCTTCCATTAAACACGATGACATGGTGATTTGTGACGTCACTCGGAACTAGCATTATTTTTACCTATTGAGGAGCACAAAAATAGACGCGACCAAATGACTCGCCCATTTTATCACGATAATAGGGTGTGACTTCCAATCGAGAGCGTGAACTGTATAATCGCTGTTTAAACAACTTTTAAACCAGTCTTGTTCCAATCGCCTTACGATGGCGATGGTTGGTGACGCTAAAACAACACTTTCCTATTAATACGAGATTAGAATTCAGGATACGGGTACATCTTTCCATCAACAATGAAAGACAATGTTCCGGGTCTAATCATTGAAAAGCGTGTAATATTCCGAGGTATATCACACAATTGGATTTCATTACAGCTCAGTGACTTCGAGTCTTTCGTGCTCTACCTTTTTTGTATTTTGAATATGCTATCAGCACTTATTATAATCAAGCATTCATTTGTGATCCAACCATGCGAGGTAACTAATTGCTACCATGGTCCAACCTATTTGTTCATGCCTGAATGCAATAAATTTGTTATACATTGTGCCCCTTCCGTTATAGTACAATACGATCACCATAGCAATATGTGTGATGTATGTTATCGAACTCGAGCATACAGAAACTGTAAGGCGATGGAAGTATGACGCAATTCTGGGGACAAAATCCAAGAAAACAAAATGCCGGGATAAAATCCCATAGTAGATTGCAGTATACATGATTGATATAATATGGTGTAAATTAAATGTGGTTGTTACTAAAAAAAAAAAATAATGTAATTTTCAGGTTAAATTGTCGGGATTTTGTCCGTACTCCCGTGATGGTCTTCGGAAGCAAGTTTAACAATCCCCCTGTCTCTTTCTGCTGATGACGTTGTTATACGCCAAACTTTCATAGATGAATGTGATTCTTGGAATATATTCACTAGCATTAGTAAGGATCTGGAACTGAGCCACACAGTGCAAAGAATACATCAAATTTCAGCCTGAGGCAGCGCATCGACTAGGCTCATTTGTTATGGTATGACTCCCCGAAAATGCAATCGTGAAACTAAAGTATATCTTCTTGACAAAATATATCGAGTCGAATGTTAGTAGAGATAATGTAACTTTTATACGTTATTCAATGTATGTGCCCAATTGCACATACAAGAATGTATACGCAATGCAAAAAACAAACTATACTTTTAAAGTACACGATACGTAATGTCAAATATAAGTGTACCGGCTAGGATCGCATGAGACGTGGGTTTCCGTGAATATTAAAGCGGGAGGGTCGTCACCTGCGCACGATAACAAACGACGATAACAACACACGCTAAAAACGCTAAGGCTCGTGGTAGACGCTTGTTTGTAAACAATGACACGCTATGGCCTTCTGACGCATGCGCAGGTGACTAATCCCCCGCTTTAAAAGGATGGATACAATGTATGTTAATTGTTGGTTTAGCAAATTAATATGTTTCTCGCAAGTTTGATCATAGTGTATACTTTGATTCTTTATAGGTACTAATCTACGAAGACGTGATTGCGGGTCAATGACCAAGCTCTATGTAGACAGCTTTTGTTAACACAGCCCCATGTTTAAATATTTGTTGTGGCTAGATATTCTTCTCGCGTGTGTTTTAACCTCTCACTACTCTGATGCTAGTATGGCAGTATGAAGGGTGCGGTGCTCAACACGTTACGCACTACAAACAATAATAATACAGAAATTGAAGGAGATTAAATTACTATTATCACAGACTCTACATTATTATAGGCCATATGCTATTATCTACTTTTAAGTCTTCATGTGAACAGTCACGCGTGGAATGAAATCAAAGACGTGGGTATTTATAACCCGAATGTATTGTTTTTAGTGCAGATTTTAATTTGGGTGATTAAGAGAAACGCGGATTTCCGGTGAAACCAATAATAATAATGTATGTCGTTGTGTTTTTGTTTTTTTTTCAATGAGGTGGTTATACTGATAAGAATAATTTGTAGTGTATATTGTATAGCGTCGCTACAACAAATTTGACATTGGAAAAACAGGATTTTCATTAACTTACACTTTTCAGTGAATATACGTAATATTAATTCTCCTCCTGAGTACTTATATGACTTTCTCAAATCAACAGGTGTTCTATAAATTTCGATCATACAAGCATTTGTCGTATTTTTTTTTTTATTTTTTACTGCGGCCATAAATCTTGATCCATGTGTAAAACATATCGCGTTGGAGTGCGTTTCTTTATTGTAGTGGTGGAATTTGAGGTGTAACAATGGAGTGTGCTACGTAATGAATTCATGATTCAGTTCAATCAACCATAGACGGAAAAGGCCTTTCAAAACGCTTGCACAATCAGTCCGTCTATTGTGTTTTATTTAGCCAATGGGGTTGCCGTCTTGGGCTCTTTTGTTCGGAGAAGGTGTTGTACAATGAATGTCACAGAAGACTGATGCGATCAGTGAGCTGGCAGACTTAACGATAGTACGAGACTTGCACGAGCTTGGATTATAGTAGCGACGGCGAGAATCAATCGGCAGCGGCTACAGCCATAATGTGGCTTTATACGTGTGTGTTCGTAGCGACTGCTTTGGTGGTTTGGACGGATGCGCAAGGTGAGACTTTTAGTTCTATTACAATTACCCAGTCGGGTGTGCTGTGGCGGTCAAACCGGGGAAAGTGCTATGCTCTAAATGGGAGTGTCCCACGAAACCATTACATATATCGTGTTAGTCACGATATGACTATCATAGATTGTTTTGGTTTGTTTGCGAGGTACATCGAACTTCCCAATACTACTGATATTTTAAATTGATATTTTTCAAAATCTGAAAATATTGTCGATGTATGTCGCGAAACACCAGGGTAGTACAGCATGGCGACGAGTATCAAGGGACGTACTCGCAAATTGAAGGTCAAGATGTAGGGGTCAAAGCTACACTCTCTCGTGCTGCAGTGTTGCATGTCCATCATCTTAAGGCGAGGAACGCAATTTGCATTCTGAGTTTTTAAACAATCTTTAATTATCCTTGTGTACGTACTGCACTGCGTTTTGCGCTGTTCATTTTAATATACATGTATGTAGCGTCGACGTACGTGAAGGGCGCACTTAATCAATGTACCCATGGAATGTATTAAGTGATGCTCCCTTGCTTTCTCCATCAATCGTACACTATATTGAAAACGTGTCTTTTTAGCTAGCATGTTATTTAGCCAAGTTAGCTAATCCATAGTGTCGCTATTTCAATATTTTACTAATTTAAAAGAGTGTATATTCTCATAAGGGGTTTGTTGGCACTTGTTAAAGCTAAATATCCCGGTAATTCATGCATTAAGTAAAATTTGCTATGATGGCATTTAGCTATTTCAACGTGTGTCACAGTATATTCCAAGCGACTCGTAATGTGAAGACAAAGTAAGCTATGACGGTCATTTCAACGATTATTTTTTGTTTAAATTGCATAAAATCTACACCGTACACAGAACAATTTCAGCAGAAAGTTCGGCCTCATTTGGGTTGGGCCTTTAGAGCTTAATCAATGACAATTACGTAAGGTATCTGTGTGAAGTTTTGTAGAAATGGATCCCAGGACAATGATGCGTGCACAAATGATTCACAATATGTCATGGAATGAGTTATTAGTTTAAGTTGGCGGGGCTTGCATGTGAAATGGTTCGAGTAAGAATGGAATGTTAATTACGCCCAACTTCAGAAAATAACAATACATAGCCAATTGTCCGAACGCCACCGCAACTGTGCTCTGCTTTCATTGTTTCATTTCTCTGACATGCAAATGCTTCCAACGGCAACAACTTTAAAGCATTTAATTTGATGCGTTACCCGAAGATTCGTTACCCTGTCCATTGTCAAAGGGATTGTAAGCAATTTACTGCTCATTCATGAATGTACATATAACTCATTGTTGTCTTCCCACACTGCCAATGTCGTCAACTAAGGGAGCATCTATGAAACCAAATATATAGACTGGCAGGGTCAGGATTTCTTTTTTTGTTTTACAAAAATAAAAAATAAAAATTGTCAATTTAGCCTTTTCAGCGTGATCGCGAAAACTAACTTTAATTATTTCTTTCTGTAAAACAAAAAAGAAGTCCCGACTTTGCCTGTCTGCCAAATATAATACATGACGATATATTATAGTTTACAACTAATGCTTACTTGAGTGAGTGGCAGGGTTTCATATTTTCCAGGGCGACAGTTCATTGAATACAGGAGGGATTTATTTTAAAAACTTCAGGCGGTTGTGGTATGGTTTAACCACAATATACTAGTACTGGGAATAAAACTGACAAGAAACGTGTTTCAATACATTGGGTTATACGTTATATTATATTATATATCCGACAATTCAAATGCACTGGTTATATGATTGTACGCAATGACCGTATTATTGACGATAAATGCACTTATACACGTTGAGTTAAGCAGTATGTACGCTGTGTTTGTGGAATGTACTATGATGTGGACCTAAGCTTGCCACTTGGATCACAGCTGTATTATTAATTTTCTGTTTTCCATTCCAACCTGCCATGGAAATTAGTTTCACTGGAAATGTAAATCTTTCGGCAACTATTTTTGAATTTTGTATTATCATTTGAACATGACTGTTTCGGTACCGGTATTGTGCTGATATAATCAGTGGGTATTTTGTTTTCATTATTTAGCGCAAAGTTCAGGAACTCTTTTTACAAACCTATTCATTATGCTGGCATTACATGGCATTGGTATTGAGCCCATCCCTAATGGAAATGACCATCGTGAATTGAACAGGTCCAATGTTGTCATGTATAGTATATGGGACACGGTAATATTAGTAGTTTCATTTTCACCTCTACTCGCCATCCATAATCATTTAAACTCAGCTTTTATGTGGTGTTTGCGTATGTGACGGCTCATACTGTCTGGTTACAACCTTCATATCATCATACAGAAAATATAACCGTAGAGACACATAGTCGAGAACACGTAAGGAATAGACGCCACATACTAGATAATACGTGCCTTGAATTAATTTGGTCTGGGATGAGTTGCTCAATTCTTAGCTTCATATCGAGTTGAAGCAGATAAATCAACTTTGCCCTGCCCTGCCTATGGAGCTTTTTATAGCTATATTGCCTGCCCATTACGCTTTATTGTAAATACAAATAATGTTATCCTCACGTTTTTTTGGGGGGGGGT